AATCACAAACTTCAACACGCGCGGATGGCCAACGCGCCCCTCTGCTCCGTACAGCCAGCCCACAAGCGCCTGCATCTCCGACGGGTCAAAGTCCCGCCCTCCAACTGCCAGCAGCTCAGCCGGGCACTCCATGCGCTGCATGATGCCGTGCAAAGTTTGACTGCGTGACACAGACGCGACCAAGGCTCGGATGGCCTCGCGGTTGCGCTGGGCACAGGCCCGCCCCGTGCACTCCACCACTCGATCACCCCCAATCTTCTGCGGCCTTCAGCACCGGTAGCAAACACCCGCCCCCAAGGTCACTTGGCAATTGCTACTACCATGACCGCGGCAGTGGCATCGAAAACAGCGCCCTTTCATGGCCGGGCAGCTAGAAGGCTGGTGGTGAGCAACCAAGCGGTCTCTGCTGCAGCTGCAGGCCCAGCAGTAGGTGCACATCCATAGCAGAGCCGTGTTAAAGTCGTCTGACTGAATGGGCGCCGATGGTACCATCAACTGCGCTCGTTTGGCCCGCGTCTGGCCCTCGTGTGATACTGGCGCCCCATGTGCTTCACAGCTTGGATGGCGCGCTGTGAAGGTCGGTTGCATCATGGAGCAGACGGTGCAAGCCGGCGCTCCTGCGGCCGCACAAATGTGGCCCTCCCCATCCAGCAGCCAACCAAGCTCAAAGGTCAGTTTTAGGATGTGATCTGTTTGTGTCAATTCACAAAGCAAACAGAGGAAATTGAAACGGGAAAGGTACAAAGTAAAATGCCACTTCCGGTCTACAGGACCGTACTTATATCTCGGTGGCAGGAACAATCACAATGTTCTACAGGCTTCCTTGACGAGCGCTGTCAAGGATCATCAGACATCATCCTGGACTGATATCTTCCAGAGTGTTCCAGCAGCTTCTGGACATACGTCTATGCTTGTAGTCCAATAGTCAGGCAGCGCTTCATGCTTGCAAATGGCTGCAGGTCTTCCGAAACCGCTGTGCCTGGTGGTATCCATAGCGTGGCCTCGCCACCCGTCGGTCGCGGCCAGCCCGGCCAAAGGCCTGCGACAAGGTGTAGCCGTTGTAGCCGCTGCCAAACCAGATCACCTTCCGGACGTTGGGCATGTCCAAGCCCGCGCCCAAGCAGCTTGTGGCCACCAAGACCAGACTCTGCGTGCCGCTCCTCCACTGCTCAAGAGCGACCCGTGTGTCTTCGGCTGACATGTCAGCATCCACGGCCAGCGACTGCTCGTGACCCAACGTGCGTGCCAACTGAGTCGACAATGCCTCAACCTGCTTCTTCGTGTCACAAAATATCAGCATGCGATCCACGCGGCCCTCTTGCTCCAACAGGCCGTAGTGGCGTTTCACAAACATCTCAAATGCCTTTGTTGTTCCTTGTTGCACCCCTAGCCGAAGATCGGTTCGCATGGTTGGCATACGAAAGGTCTGGTACGAAGCGTCCTCCGTGCAATCCAGCTGTTGGAGCAGAGCCCGCTCATCTTTGGGGCAAAGCGTGCCAGTCAGGCCCACACACTTGACGGATGGGTTTTGGCGAAGATGGTCCAGCCGGCCTGGGCAGCGAACAAGACTCTCTCGATAGCTGGTGTCCACGAGCATTGTGTGAACCTCGTCCATCACCAGCATGGCCAGACGCTTTTGCTGCACGAGAGTTTGCACCCACATCATCCCATGGCCAACCAAAAAGTCGACCGTCATGACAACCACTTGCACGTTGACTTGCGTGTCACGGCCATCATTCTTAGCCCACTGCGATACAATGTCAGCCTGCTCGAAGCGGCGGCACAAGTCTCTGGCAAGCTCACGAAGCGGCACTACCCACACCACGACCTTGCGTGGCTGGAGGTGAGCGAGTGTACACAGCGTCTTGCCCATGCCCGTCGGGGCCACGGCCAACAGCCAGCCGTCCTGTGCTTCGTGCCGAGTCACAGCCTGTGCCAATCGATACTGATCCCAGTCGCGAAATGTTGTCTTCCACGCTTGCCGCACACATTGAGCAAGCCAAAGCTGATCTTCATACTCTTGTTGCTGCGTTTGGTCATTGTGCTGGCTTGGCTCTTGCTGCAAGGCCGTCGACGCAGCCTCTTCCACGGCTCGCGGCACGGCAACTGGCATGGACGATCCGGCTCCTCGGCTTCGTCTAGATCCAACCCGGCAATGATATCGTCAATGTCGTCCTCAGCATCAAGGCAGGCTTCAACCTCGGGATCTGTTTGCGTGCCCACGGTCGCTTGCACCTGTGTGCTGACGTTTCTGACCCGAGACGACTGGATGACCACCTGTTTATGAACCACTTGTTGCACGCAGGTCTGCCCATCCACGGCCTCGGCTTGGATCTGATCCTCTACATCTACCAGCTTCATGAGCTTGTGCCATTCTTCAGACACAAACTGGTGGCCATACTGTGCTTCACTGGACACAAACTTGTGATCGAGCTGCGTGCGGCCATAGACGTTGCGTGCCGTTCTGCCTGCATGCTGGCTTTGAGAGTGTGCCACATTCAACGCCCCCAATGAAGGCTCGGGCGTATGATGCAACACCAGTGTATGCAGCCAAGCCACGCTCATGTGCCGCCATGCACTGACAGTGATGCTAGTTCCAAGAAATTGCTTGGTCACGGCCTGGATGGTTTGATAGACTTGGCGTGGACGGCGCTCTGCAGTCTGAGTTTTGGCTTTCCCGCTGCTGCCCCGACGCAGACTCACCCGCGCTTGAGGCCAGTCACGTCTAAATTCAACTTGGTGACGATGTGAAGGAGGCATGAGAGCGCTTTGAACCTTTGCAAGTTCGTGCCGGCACAGACATCGCACAAGTTGACTTGCAGACACCAAGGACCTTGGCAACCAGACACACATTTACTGCATCCAATTGTCAGAATACCCGAGCGTGACCGGAACTGATCGCTTGCATGATAAGACCGCCGCTCAATGCCCTCGTCACCAGCTCGTGCAGCGCCGCATCCACCACTACCGAGACACTATTGCTATTATCCGTTGTCATGGTAAAAGAAGACGAAGCGGTTTCTCGCTCTTTTCCGTGCTTGTTGGACGGTTCTGCTTCAGACGGTTGGCAAGGCCCGCCCTGCCCATTGACTTTACTTTCTTTTTGCATAGCAATCGACAAGCCACTCTAAAGCGCCACAAATTTCAATTTGTAAAAAAGTATCAAGGTGCAGCTACAGAGGCCGACGTTAGGGCATCCACGCGGTCACCAAGCGTTTGTAGGTCTTGGTTATTGAACAATTGAGGATCCAAGTG